TATTGATGCTTTTGATGGAGAATTTGAAACTCAGACCCAATTCGATGATTATCAAGTGAGTACAATGCTCTATTGTTTCGATGTTTATGAATTTTTAGAGAGATTAGTATTAGTTTAGAGAGATTTAACATTAGTTTAAATCCAATGCCGATTACACTCTGAAATGAATTGCTTGGAACTATTCGAAATGTGGTTACAGAGTTCGTTGATTCTTCAGGCTTATGTTTTATATATTGTGTGATGTAACTTTATATCAGGAGGATATCAATGAGGAAGACGAGAAGTTGTTTGACTCATTCTTTGTTAAGAATGCTCCTCCTCAACGTACTCTCGCTGACATCATTAGCAAGAAAATCAAGGAGAATGATGCTGATTTAGCTGAAGGTTGATTACGGATTTTTTTTTTGTGCTTTTGCAGATTTTGTTTGATTAATGTATCTTCTTGCTGGATATCTTTGCTGATTGTAAACCTCATTTTTTTGTTGTTGTTGCAGAAGAGCGTCCCGATCCTAAAATGGACCCTAAAATAATGAAAATATATAAAGGGTACTGCTTCGTTCTTTCCATTTCTTCTTCTTTGCACTGCAGAATCAGTGGAGTTTCAACATAATTTTATGAAGCGGTTCTCACGTTTATTAGATGATCTATTCTTATGCAGTGTTGCCGAGATTATGAGGGAATATACAGTCGGGAAAATTCCGAAAGCATTTAAGCTTATTACGTCAATGAAACGCTGGGAAGAAGTATTATACTTGACCGAGCCAGAGAAATGGTCACCTAATGCAGTTTATCAAGCCACAAGAATCTTTGCTTCCAACTTGAATGTCAATCAAGTTCAACGGTTTTATTCCCTTGTTTTGCTCCCTCGAGTAAGAGAGGATATTAGAAAGAACAAGAGGCTGCATTTTTCTCTATACCAGGCTTTAAAAAAGTCACTGTTCAAGCCTGCTGCATTCAACAGGGGGATACTCTTCCCCCTTTGTAAGGTATATTTTTACTCTGCCATAGTTTACACCATTCAGTAAAAAAATTTCTGAGCAATGTATCATCAGAATGTGACGGTTTACTTACTAGTTTCTTGGGTTTTATTATTCAGTCTGGGACATGCAGTCTCAGAGAAGCTGTGATTATAGGGAGCATTCTCGAAAAGTGTTCTATTCCTATGATTCACTCATGGTATGCCTACAAAGCTAATATATATAGAACATTTTTTTACAATTCTAAGATTATTTGTTGCATATTACTCATTTCGCAACATGGACTGCAGTGTTGCCTTGCATAGCCTGGCTGAGATGCAGTATTGCGGCACAACAAGGTAAATAATGCAAACACTTTCTACGAAACAGAGAATCAGGTGTGATGGTTTTGAGAGGGTGCTAATAATATTGTCTGTTTCGAAAAACCTTGCAGTTACTTTATAAAAGTTCTTTTGGAGAAGAAATACTGTATGCCGTATCGGGTGCTTGATGCATTGGTTGCTCACTTTATGAGATTTGTCGACGAAATAAGAGTTATGCCTGTGATTTGGCACCAGTCTCTTCTTACTTTTGTGCAACGGTAAATTTCTTTTTTACAAAGATGTTTCTCTACCTGAAGGGTTATTACGTAAGCTTAAGTTAAATCCGATGTGCAGGTACAAGTATGAAATACTAAAGGAAGACAAAGAGCATCTCCAAACTCTCCTCCAGAGGCAAAAGCACCATCTTGTAAGGCTTGTTCTATCTCTTATTAATGAAACTTTTGTTGTATTGTAAATCACACTGATTCGGCTTTTTAATGTTAATTGTATAGGTTACTCCTGAGATTCAGAGAGAGCTTAAGGGTAGTAGAAACCGCGGAGAGAAGGAAGATGATCTTATGTTGACTAATAATATCCTTTTTTTTCTTCTTCTAATTTCTCTTAATTGTGTTTAATGATTACTAAGTCTTGAGTTATGTTGTGTTATCTCCTTGACTCCAAAATTACCTCCTTCAGTTTTGACAATCAACAATCCGATTAAAGAAGACAGGTTCGACATTCCAGAAGTGCCAATGGAAGAAGATTGATTCTTCTTTAGTTTGGAAGAGACTTGATTCAGGTTTTCCAGTTTTGTCATATTTTAGCAAGGATTGAATCTTTATTACTACATGATAGTGAATCTTTAAACATGCTGGTTTAATGTTTTGTTGCATTCTAAAAATTGTTTTGTCTATATATCTCTTTTTCTTCTTCCAGTTATGAGTATTTGAGTAAACTTTGTTGTGTACTCAAGGTGATTACAAATCTTGTTTTCTAGACTTAATGGTGATTTTACAAACTCGATTATCCGTTTATTAAACTAAATTCAACTATTTAATTTCATATGGGTAGTTACAAAAAAACTTAGTTTGTGTAAATATAACTTAATTGCAATAATTAGTAATTTGTTCTAACAAAAATGGCAATAATTTTTCAATAAAATATTGTATTTAGGGATAAAAAAGTTGCTTGCTTTCTTGGTAAATTAATCGGCCATATTTAATCTTCCCTCTCGCCGCCGATTATGGATGATTGTGGACGCAAATACTTCATCAGTGAATTGGTCCTTTCTCCTTAAACCCATCAGAT